ACATAAGCGGGGATCGTAGGGGGGGGGGGCAAAAATGGTGGCATGCACCAGTCGGCCCACAGCTGGCCGATTAGCTCCTATCGGCCTACAGATGGCTGACTGAGCTGAACTGGTGGCCGACAGGCCAATCGGCCAGCAGCAAGCCGATAGGACTTCAGTCGGCCTGCTGTGGGCCGACTAGGCCCAGGCCAGCAACGGGCCGACGGTGTATCATTTTTGAAAATTACATATCGGGCGTAATATTTATGCAAATTAATAAAAAAAATGTATTATTTAAATTTTTTTAGCATATCATATCCCAATGGATAAGGAATAAATCTTGTTCAGATGCATGGTGCCCACGGGTGACTGTTGCTGCGAGCTGGTGCTGTCTCATCGTGGCAATACAGATTTGGAGGTGAGGTAAAGGCCGGTGATGGCATCAAGAAAAATCACAACGAGCAAGGCAACAACATTGTACAGTAACACGGTCGTGTGTGCGCCCTCTGCGTGGCAGTGACGGGTATCCATCGGAGTAAGGACAACGGCGCACACATACATACATGTTTAAAATGGTGCTCGAGGCTGCGGGGCCGATCTGATATGTGGATGGTACAAGTTTGATTGTTAACATTGGATTCCGAGCGGTCCGTTGAATTTAGAGACGTTAGTTTTACTTTACATAATATTCATAAATTATATGCTCTTCTATCAAGTGTGAGTGAAGGAAGAGACTGAGAAGAGTGGAGAGAGAAGGTTATTATAAGATAATTGTTGTCCAGTCACTCAAATATATGCACTGTAGCCTGTAGCAGTCGCACAGACATTGTACTAGTAGGATTAATTGGTCGGATGCTCCTCTACTTTCTGCCCTCTATAAAATACTCACTCCGTCAGTTCTAGATACATCCCTTTTTATTAATTTTGATGACAAATATTTTCGAAATAGTTCTAAATACATTTTTTTTAGATGATAAGTATTTTCGGAGGACGGAGGGAGTAGTTAGTGAAGCATTGCCGAATCGTCAAAGCAATCCCCTCGCTTCCGCCGGTGGCTACCATGAGCACGCCTCGCCGTCGCCGCATCTCGCCGGCGGCGTAGACAACGCCATTCTCCCCGCCGACTAGTTGATCTGGCCCAGACCAGTCCTCCCAACCGACCAAATCACCCATAAAAAAAAACAACGAGAGGAGTTGCGCTGCTAAGCCTGCCATGAGCACGAGAGGGGAGATGTCTCCCCCCGGCTGCCGCCGCACCTCCCCGCCGGCCGCCTCTCTTCCAGACGACGACGACATGCTCCGGGAGATTCTCCTTCGCTTGCCCCCGCGGCCTTCCTCCCTCCCCCGGGCCTCCCTCGTCTGCAAGCGTTGGCGCAGCCTCGTCGCCGATCCCCAATTCCAGAGCCGCTTCCGCGACGACCACGGCAAGCCTCCTCTCCTTGGCTTCTTCCTCGATTCCCGTCAGTTTGTTCCGATTCTGGATCCACCAGATCGCATCCCCGAAGCTCGCTTCTCCATGTCTCCCCTCGAGAGCTACCGCATCATCGACTGTCGCCACGGGCTCGTCCTTTTCCTCGCCCACAGGATGATGCGCCGCTTAGTTTTGTGGGACCCCGTCGCGCGCGAGCAGCGCCGGCTGTTCTTCCCGCCGGAGCTGGACAACGCCCAGATGTTCTTCTTCAACGGGGCGGTGCGTCGCCCTGCCCGCCGCCAAGGATGGCATTTCCAGGTGGCCCTGATAGCCCGTGACGCATTATGCACAAGAGTTTCGGTGTGGCTTTACTCATCAGAGACCGCAGTATGGGGCAACATCAACTCACTGCAGCTGCAATCGATTCAGTCTATGCCACAACCCAGCACTTTGGTTGGGAATTCCTTTTGCTGGTTATTTACCGTGGATCATGGCTGTGTCATACTTGAGTTTGATCTTGATAGGCAGAGCCTAGCTGTGACAGAGCTGCCACCACACATAGATATGGAAATCGACTTTCACAAGTTATGGATTATGCCCTCCCAGGGTGGTGGGCTTGGCTTCATCCATCTCTCACAACACTTCCACGCCCAATTATGGAAGAGAGTGCCTGATTCTGATGGTTTGGCTGTATGGGTGCCCGACAGAGCTGTTGAATTCGGGGAACTTAGATCATCTTGCAAAGGCGACTTCCTCACTTTGGTTGGGTTTGACGAGGAGAGTAATGCAATCCTTGTGCTGACAGCTTCTGGTGTCTTCATGGTCTATCTCCAGTCAACGGAGTTCAAGAAACTTTCTGATCCAATGTCCTTCTGTCACCATTATCCATTTGCATGTTTCTATCCTGCAGGTAATAGCAAGCCTTTATATAATTTATTACTTGAGTAGTATTATAATATAAATTTATTTTTAGCAATTAGTTGCTCAAATGAATGTCATATGCTTGAGTGTTATGCTGATGATTGAAGTTCAAATCACATCAATTTTTTTTTCCGCTTGATGAGTTCTTTAAAAGAAAATACTACTCAAGGCCACTGTTCTTTGGTTGTATGCCTAAATTGTGTTTCAGATGTAGTCTTATCATCTTATGTGCCTATCTGAAGTATATATCTTTTCAGCATCGGAAGCATAACAGTTGGGAATCGACGAAATAGTTATTTGTCACTTGTGGAAGAGCCTTGCTGTGATTAGCTAGTTTAGATGTACAACTGGAAAACATATAGTAGGTCGAACCTATTATGTTTCTTGTCAGTTTTTGATTTTGGCATGTCTTAATTTGCCCCGCTTGGTCTGACGAGGAATCAAGTTTACCAAAGATGATTTCTAGAGAGTATCTTTTCTCTTGCGGGAATAATGTTATGGTTATTTTCAGCACTGGACCGCGGTTCTCTTGACAATGTGACACACAACAGTTAAAACTGGAAGAGAACTTAATGGAAATTGAGACCCAAACAACCGAATATGCAACTCCATTGACACTTTCCGGAGCTTAAAGCTAGTTACACTCTTTCATTTGGAAGCTGAAACCAATTGAATACATTTAAGTTCTTGTTTTGTTGAATATCTTCCTGAAGTGAGGAGTCCATTTGCACTAGAGATTAAATATATTCTTCATGGCTCAGTGTTATTTTTCCCAGATTACATAACTATGCACCTCTCAGTTCACCTATATATCCCATTGTAGTTCGCTCTTCTATCGATGGTTTTCCATTGAATTGTCATTTGTTCCTGACTTATTATGCTCGTAGGTACTGGCATTATTGATGGACATGATGGAAATGAAGTCTTGAACAATATGTGAGATGGTTGTTTGGTGAGACATGCTAGTATGATGTGATGACTGAAAGGGTGACGTAACTTTATCTCCTAGACATGTCCATTAGGATATCTATGCTATTTTACAATTTATTCCTGCATGGGCTTGGCTGATGATGTTTTCTTATGAAAGTATTAACTCCATTTGTAATTTGTAAGGCATCCAGTACTTTGCCTAAGTAATCGAGAACTATATATACCGGAACATAAGTAATTCAGAATCCTACTTAGTACAATTCTCGTTACTACACACTGCTAAGTAAACCCAGCCAAGTCACTAAGTCAGATGTTGCTTTTGTTTTATATGAAGTCAATTTCTCAACTTGATCACTACTAGATCAATAGTTTATATATTGTCACATTGGCTAGGTTCATAAATAAAAACATTTGCAGGTTACATAATTTTTTTATTTTATATGGCGATATTATGTAATCCCTCCGTCCGGAATTAATTGTCTCTGAAATGAGTGTATCTACACACTGAAATGCGTCTAGATACACTCATTTCAGCGACAATTAATTCCGGACAGAGGTTGTAGTTTGTTAACTTTCTACGGTAGCAAAAATGGTGGTCAAAGGCATGAAGCTCTGCTCTGACTTCTAATGTCATGCAAAGGTTAAAATGTCATCCATTTTAGGCTGAAAGAATGCTACTATTTTATTAGCTGATAAAGTATCTGCTAATACTAGTTCTCTTGTGAGTAGTTCTACTTCAGTTTATAAGAAGTATACTATGCTTATAAGTAAGCTGAATCTTTTTTATTTCTGTTGTCTTGCTATTTATTTCCGCGATGATACTTGCATTATACTGCACATTCCGTGATATTCTAGACAGTTGCAGTATTTGCCCTTCGTGCATAAAAGCACTATGTTACTGATTGTATTGTTGTTTATATAAGGTATGGCTAAGTCGCGGGAATGGCTTATCGATGATCCATTCCCATCTGAACATTGATCCGTTGTAGTGTATACTTATCAAGCGTGAAGCACACCTGCAGGGACAAACTGTGTAACTTGTTAGTTTCCCATTACTATTCCAGTGATGGGCATTTTCTCTGCCTAGCAGCTAGCAGCTAGCAGCTAGCAGTGATGGTCATTTTCAAATCTTTCTGTAAGGTGGTCTGGATTCCGTTGTAGACTGAATCCACAATGATGGCCTTATGTGAATGATCTGATCGCGGCGCACTACAGAACCCCAGCCCCAGCCCCCAGGGAAACCACACCTGCATCGTTCACTCTGCTCCTCTGCATCCTACTACTCCATACTGAGCGCAAAAGAAACACTTCGTCAGCAACAGGTCGATGATTCCATGTGGATTCTGGCCGTGGTTGCGGCCGTGTGTGGCTGCTTCTGGGGGCGGTGGTGATGATGCATCGGCTGCTCATCCGCCCGGCGGCGTTCGAAGCCTTCCGCATGCTCTACTCCTACCTGCTCCGTGCGCTCGGACCCGCCGTGACCGCCGTCGTGTTCCGCCACCTTCCCCAGTAGCGGATCTGGCTCTTGGCTTTTGTTTTCGGTGGGTGATTTGAGTCTGGTCGATGTTGTGGGACTGCTGTTGATATGAATGCTTTGGTTATCTGTACGAGTTTTGTAAGAGTGTCAATGGCGTTAGGACGAACATAAACTTTTTCTTGGGCGTTAGCGTTAGGCAGAAATCATGCAGCATGAAAAGGTAACGATGAGGCTCCATTTTGTTGAGCGGATCACTCAGGTCCTCCAAAACTGGTTCCCCTACTGTATCTGTTCATTTCTATTCTACTAGTATGAGATTAAAACCAAAAAAAAACCTACAGGATTCTAGAACGAGTGTTTTTTAGACAAACCAATACATATGTTATCCAAATATTCAATCTGAATAATTAAAATGAAAATTGTAGTCAAAGTTTTAAACGTTTGACTCTGAAGCGTTTCCCCAAATGTTATGTGTTTGTGATACCAAGGGAGTAGGGAGTGGAATTTTCACGGTCCACCTATCAATCGATATGAATAGGGAAACAAAACAGATTTTGATCCCTAGGTGCTTGGAATGGGTTAATCAAGCCAAATGATAAGTGTCACAAGTGTGGCACAAAGCAGTCCAACACTGACGTTTTTTATCATCTTGGGAGGAGCGCCGTCTCTATCCTGGCAATCACTGCAAATGTTGGGAAATTTACCAACTCACAAGGGAATGACCTGGAAAGGAGATGGAAGAAACCGGAGCCTAGATCAGGTAAGTTGAATGTGGATGCTTTGTTTCATGTTGATGAAGGTGATGCAGCTACAGCAGCTGTTATTCGTGATCACAATGGGGAATTTCTTGCAGCAACATACGGATTATATCAGATCTGGCAGGTTTACAGCTCATGGGCTAGCAAAGCATACCTATCTTAGTAAAACTTCTTGCTCGTGGTCTGATGATCCTCCAATACGGATTATATCAGATCTGGCAAATGATGTAATTGGTACTTGAGTTAATAAAGCTAGCCATGTTGGCCTTTTCCTAAAAAAAAAGTTGCCATATGAAAAGAAAGACAAACAAAAACAACTGAAACCTGCCATCAGAAAAGAAGTTGCCATGCTTGACAACTAAAATTGTCATCCTTGAGTCACTAAACTTGTCATAGGAAATGTTCGTAGTTGCCATGTGCTCGTGCCACATGTGTGGCACTTATCAGGGTCCTAATCAAGTTACCAGCTTTATTGACTGTTCGAATACACCACAGATTGCCGTGGAGAGCTAATCTTCACGGGTTTGGTGTCTCGCCAAATCCGGATTTGGCACGAGCCGCTCTCCCTAGACACGATGTCAGATCACACCTTGGAGGAGCATGAGAATCCCGCGACGGGGTTAATGTCAGACTGGATCTCAAAACCATTCTCATCGGACGTGATGTCAGATCAGGCCCTGAGCATCAGGAGTCATTGCTGGTTTCGATGTCACATCAGATTTTTGAAGCCGCTTCCCCTATAACACCTATGCCCGGTGTCAGATCGGGCCCAGGAGGAAAGCGGAAAACTACTCATGGACTTGATGTTAAACCGGATTCAGGAACTCGTGAAGTCGGCTCTCTCGATCTCGATGTCAAATTGGATCCTGAAGACGTCGAAAGGAGTCAATTTTTCGACCCACCCACCACTCATATTGTCGCGAACGTTAAAGATCTCACTGATGTCCTTGAGGGGGGGGGGCAAGGAAGTAGAAGACAAGTAAAAGGAGATCGACGAGTCTGCTGACAGCGGACCAATAGCCACGGGCAATTGAAAGGCAACCTCAACCTACAACATCTACATGGTGTACACGCCAAATGCCATCAACAATGGTTGTGGCGATGACGACGACAACGATGGCACCGATGTCAACAACAACAATGGCCCCGAGAGTCCTCCACCCGACAACGTGAGTACACGAGGGGGGCCCAACGCCAGTTAGGTCCCTATGACAAGGACATCCTGAATGAAACACTTGGCGGCCCGCGCCACAACGGATGTCGGGAGAGGCTGATCAGGTTGCCCTAGAAGGTCATGAGGGATAAATAAGAGCTACTCGCACGGGCTCAGCTTGCCGAAGAACACTGGTAGCAGGTCCTCCAATACGAGGAGGGCCTGGAAGAAAAGAAGCGGTTGTCTGGCAAGAAGAATCCATTCAAGCATGACAGGAATCTGATTAAGGACTTGGATGTCATCGCGGACCACGGTGCAGATTCTAAACGTACGTGGGCTAAAGAACTACTCCCTCTGTTCCGAAATAATTGTCGTTGGGCAAACACAGTTCAGATTCTGTCACGTTATAAAAAAGTTTCACTTTCCAATTTTGCCCTCCCACTCACTCGCTCCCACTAGCTCTCTCGCTCGCCGCTCTCCGTCTCCTCCCCGTCGCCGCTCTCTCTCTCTCCCCTCCGGCAACGCCCTCTCCCTCTCCTCGTCGCCGCCCTCTCCTCTCCCCGTCGCCGGCCTCTCCCTCTCCCCGTCGCCGGCCTCTTCCACCGCCCTTTTTCCTCACCACCCCGCCTCCACTCATACCCCGTAAGTCAACAAAATATCGATTCTTTTTGCGCCGGCGACGAGCTTCTAGGCGAAGGACATGTGGATGTGTAGCGGCGCCAGAGCTCGATATAGGCAACGAAGGCGTGGACGTGGATCGGTGCCCGAGCGGCGGATCTGGAGCGGCGCCCGAGCAACGGAGGGAGATGGAGTTCCCTCCTGGCATGGCGGCTCGATCTGCAACGCCCGCAGCTGCGGTACGCCACCCTCGCTGCTGTCGCAGGGAGATGCCGCTCTTCCCCTTCCCGGTCCGCCCTGATGTGGTTTCCTCTCCGTGACCCGTCATCGGAGGCACGGCCAGAGGCATCCCCGCCGCGTGCAGCTGCTACTCCCGGACGCCGCCGCCGCCCTCCGCAAGGAGCAACTATAACCTGAAGCTCTGCGGCCCGGCGTGCGCCGAGCGGCGCGCCGCGGGGGCACCGTCGCCGACCGGCCACACGACATCGCTCTCGTCCAGCTAGAAGCATGCGCTGTCGTGGCCTGCCTCCGGCTGCTTCAGCAGGCCAAGAAACTGGAACACACCCATGCCCGGCGACCTCAGCATCTCCATCGATGATGGTAAGCCCCTCCTCTATTCCCTCTGATGGTAAACTCCGAATTTGCTTGCTTGCTTTCTTTCTACAGCAGGCCAAGAAACAAGGAGTGCATACTTAATTCAGTTAGTTTTGCAGTAGTTTGGTTGCAGTAGCAGTACTTCATTCAAGTGAAAAGATTCAGTTAGTTGTATCTCTGCATACTTAATTCAGTTTGGTTGCAGTAGTTTCTCTCTGATGGTAGTACTTGTATCTCTGCATACTTAATTAACTGAATTTGGTTGCAGTAGTTGATTCAAGTGAAACGATTCAGTTAGTTTTGCAGTAGTTTTGCTGGAGTAATAAGGAAAAGTTGTAGTAGTTTGTCAATGTTAACCTCGGCGTATCTGCAGTTTCAGTCACTGCTTGCTACTCCTACTTATTACTCCT